GGTCCTCTCCAAGAGCAGCCAGCGCTTTCCGGCTGCTGAGCCATCCCCCCAGCCCTTGCTGTTTTTAGACAGGGTCTCTCACAGATGCCAGGCTGACCAGCCAATGAGCTGCAGGAATCTGTGTCCTCTTTTATCTTGCCATCTTATCCCTACTCCGCCTGCTGGTATCACAGGCACACCCCATTCCACCTTTTAACATCTGTCTTGGGCATCTGACTTCAGGTCCTCATGCTTGCAAAGCAGGAACTTTACTGATAGCCATTTCCCAGCCTCCTTTTGTGCAGTTTCCAGCACTCTCATTGTTACTATTCAGGCATCTGTACTGGCCTGTCCTTGGGGTTCTCTGCAGGATACGCCCTCAGCTGCAGCCACTAAGAGTACCACCTGTGCATATTCACTATGTTCTGTTGGGGGTCTCTGGGGGCCCACTGGGTCAAGGTCAGAGAGGGTAGAATGTGCTGTTCACCTGTCCCGCAGCCTCCCCGGAACCTGGAGACAATCAGACGCAATAGGGAGTACAGTCAAGCAGGATCTTATTTATTGTTTAATGGTAAAGCCCTCTTAAAATAAAAAAACCACAGGGCGGGAAAAGTATTGCCCAGTAATTCAAAGGTATTCCTATTACGTATCTAGTGTCCTATTCCCTCTTGGGCACGGTCTGCTAGTGTGATGACCTCATCCAGTGTGAGTTTGGGCAGCCAATTGTTTTTCTTAGTAAGCACTTGAAGCCTCGCCTCCGTAGCTTCCTCCCAGTGCCATCTTATAATGGTACCTGTCATCTGTCATCAGCCTTGGGACACTCCCTCTTTTGGTGGGACAAGATCTGTGCTCCTCCACAGTTCCTTTTTAAATGGGCCCTGCCCACCTCTCTCTCTCTTTCTCTCTTTCTCTCTCCCTCTCTCCCACCCCCCTCTTTCCTCTCTCCTGTCTCCTGCTGCTCCTGTTTCCGGAGGTCAGTCTTCCCCTCCCCCTCTTTCCCTTTTTTAAAATCCCTTCCCCTAATTAAAAAAAAAAAAACCCTCTACTTGAACCCTGTCTCATGGCCTCTTTCTCTTGAGCGCTGATCTTCCTAAATTACAACACGCATGGCAGCCCACAACTGTCTGTAACTGCATTTCCAGGGGATCTGATGCCCTTTTCTGGACTGGCATATACATGGTGCATAGGCATATTTACAGGCAAGACACCCATACACATAAAATAAAAAAATGAATAAAATCTAAAAGTAAAAATCCAAAACAAAGAAAGAAAGAAAGAAAGAAAATAATGTCAGGCAGTGGAAGCACATGCCTTTAATTCCAGCACTCAGGAGGCAGAGGCAGGTGGATCTCTGTGGGTTCAAGACCAGCCTGGTCTACAGAGTGAGTTCCAGGACAGCCAGGACTGTTATACAGAGAAACCCTGCCTGAAAAAACAAAAATAAATATAAAGGGAGTGTATCAAGTGTTTCTTGTAGGACTTTCTTTGGACTGCCAGGCCCCAAATAATGACACACTTATAATTATGAAAGCTTAGTCTTTAGCTAAACTTGTTCCCAACTAGCTCTTATAACTCAAATTAACCTGTTGATCTACCACTGCCTTTTTACCTCTCCTCCATTCTGTATGTCCAGCTCCCTCCATGTCTTGTTGGTGTTTCCTGCTGTGCCTGTTTCTAACCTTGAGTTCCTTTCTCTGCCCAGAAGTCCCGCCTATTCTTTCTTGCCTAGCTATTGGCCATTCAACTCCTTATTAAACCATCAGATGACTTAGGCAGGTGAGGAAAAATTGACACATCTTCACGCAGAGCACAAAAAGATTATCCCACAACAAAGGAGAAATAAACATTTTAGTCTTGTGGAAACAACATAATCTCCTAACCAATGAGATTTCTTCTGGTGTGCATATGATTAGGGTACGGGGTCAGTGGGAAGGGATGGAACTGAGACTTTGAGTTTATCTTTTAGTGTAGTTTTGAACTTTGAGCTGTATCAATGTACAAATTAAAAATTAAGTGGAAAAATAGTCAAAAGTTAAGGGAAAATGAAGCATTTATCCAGACATCAGCTTTTGCTGATTGTACAGAAATGGTAATAAGTAACTTTTGCTTACAGTATTCCGACTAGACACTGTGATAGGATTCATGACTTGAATGTTCATGTCTCTTCTAAAATTCACAGAACCCTCAATGTGGTTGTATTAATAGGTGTGTCCTTTAGGGGGCAGTTAACTAATGAGAGTGGACTCTTCTCAGTGAGATTAGCAACTTTATAGCCACAGGAGAGAATTAGCTTGACTCCTTTTCAAGCCTTCCTGGAATGCAAAACTGTAAGAAATAACTTTGTATTGTTTCTCAGTTACTCTGTATCAAGGTGGTTTTGTTGTTGATGTTATTTTTGGTCATCCTCGGGATTGAATGAGGGCCTTGCACATTCCAAGCATGTGTTGTACTGTCACTGATATACATGACATACATTCCTAGCCCTCAGACACAGGTGATTTTTGGTTATAGCAAAAAAATGTACTAAAATAATACTTCAGCTAAAGTGCTTACATTAATTTTTTTGTTGTTGTTTTACTTAAAGCTGGGTATAGTGGCTCACGACTTTAGTCCAGCACTTGGGGGCAGAGGCAGGTGGAACTCTGCCACAATGGAGTATAAATTGTCAGCCAGGTGTTGGTGGAGGCAACAGCCACTTTTAATCCCCTCACTTGGGAGGCAGAGGCAGGTGGATGTAAGTTCCTGGACAGCCAGAACTAGTGTTACACAGAGAAACCCTGTCTCAAAATACCAAAAACAAACAAACAACCCCCCAAAACCAAAACAAACAAAAAACCCAAAACAAAGCCAAAAAACCAACAAAAACCCCCAAAAGCAATAACAACCCCCCCAACAAAAACAAAACAAAACAAAAACCCAAACTGTTTATGACATCGTGTAGGCAAGTGAGAAGGGCTATATTTAAATAAAACTATCAATGGATCAAAAAAAAAAAACGTTCATAGCAATACCCAGAGAAAGGAGGAGAAAGGGTTGGAGGGAGGGAGGAAGGAAAAGCCTTTTTTCTTCTCAGTGTGTGCATGCATGGTTAACACGTTTGTTGGCACACGTATGTGGGTAGGTACACATGCACATGTGTATGGAAGCGTGAGGTTGAGGTTGGGATTCGTCCTTGATTGCTCTCCCTCCTCACTCATTGAGGCTGGATCTTTCAAGGAAACCTAGAACTCACCGACTTGTCTAGTCTCTCTGGCCAGTTTGTTCTGAGGCTCTCCTGTCTTTTCTTTCGAGGCTGAAATGATGGAATATCTGCTGCCAAGCCAGCATTCACACGGGTTCTGGGGTCATCACAAAATGAAGAACTGTATTAAAGGGTGGCAGCATTAGGAAGGTTGAGAACCTCTGATCTGAGCTATCTCCCCAATCCCAGGAAAGCTGTCTCTCTCAGTAGAATGTCAATCAAAATGTGGAAGGGGTGGCACTCACTGCTGAACAGTCTCAAATAGGATAACAGGTTCAGGCAAGGCTCATAGTGGATGGCAGATCCCCTGGAGAAGGATCACTGGGGAGCAGGGCAGCCACACAATCTTAAAGCATGGGAAAGACACAGCTCCTCCACATAAAACTCCTAAAAAAATCAGATACATCCAGCTGTGGCTCAGTTGCTGAACTATCCCCATCTCTCTCTCTCTCTCTCTCTCTCTCTCTCTCTCTCTCTCTCTCTCTCTCTCTCTCTCCTTTTTATTTTTCCTTTTTTTTTTTTGAGACAGGGTTTCTCTGTGGCTTTGGAGCCTGTCCTGGAACTCGCTAAGAAGACCAGGCTGGCCTCAAACTCACAGAGATCCACCTGCCTCTGCCTCCTGAGTGTTATCAACCCAATTTCTTTAAAGGGATATATTTTTTAAAGTGTCACGATGTTTACATGATGGGAATGGGTGCTATAGCATGCACAGGGGGTTCAAGGACAGCTTTGTGAAGTCATTTCTCTCATTCTACCTTCATGTGGGTTCCAGGGAACAAACTCAGGTTGGCAGGCTTGAGTAACAAGTGTACACGATGAGTCATCTTGCTGGTCCCATGAACTGATTGCTTGCTCCTTCCCCACAAGAAACACTGAGCTTAGAGACCCAGGTTCAAGTCCCTGGGAAAGTTACTTTACCTCCACGGCTTTCTGATCTTGGGCTACAAGATGTCTGAGGTCAGAGATACCTTGCCCAGCCTAGACACAGGGATGTGGGGAGTGTAGAGGTGCCTCGGTCAGCCTCAACTAGATGATGGGACAGACTTAGTAGACTTCCTAAGGGAGGCCTTACTTTCTCCGAGGAACAGATGGGAGGTTGGGGGGGCGGCGGGAGGAGAGGAGGGAGGGGAAACTGGGATTGGAATGTAAAAAATAAATTAATAAAAGAAGGATGTCTAAGGTCTCATCAGACCATGATGTTGGACCCATATATTTATATTATTTAGGGAGATGGGGGCAGTTTGATGATTTTTGGTGACCATGTGAGTCAAGAAAATGGAAACAGAAGTCTGTCTTTAGTGCTGTCCCACCTATAAACTGAGCTTTTAAAAAATCATTTATTATTTTTTAGTGCAGGTGTTTAGCTTACGTGTATATCTGTGTGAGGGTGTCAGATCTTGGAGTTATAGACAGCTGTGAGCTGTCAAGTGGGTCCTGGGAATTGAACCCAGGTCCTCTGGAAGAACAGCCAGTGCTCTTAACTGCTGAGCCATCTCTCCAGCCCCCATAAACAGAGCTGTACTCATCATTTTCTGGAGAAAGGAAAACAAAGTACTCATGAATGTGAGTGAGTGAGTGAGTGAGTGTGTGTGTGTGTGAGTGTGTGTGTGTGTGTGTGTGTGTGTGTGTGTGCCTGTGTTGCATAGCTGAAGTGGGACCCAGAGTGATGTTGTAAATAGGGTTTAAGGATTAGGGGCTCGGAGCCAGAGGAGGAGTGCTCTTTGGCATCCCAGGACTCCTGGGTCTGGCTGGCCTCACCTGTACTGCTTCCATACCCCAGGCCCACGAGCGTCTGGAGGAGACGAAGTTGGAGGCCGTTCGGGATAACAACCTGGAGCTGGTGCAGGAAATCCTTCGGGACCTGGCGCAGCTGTCGGAGCAGAGCAGCACCGCTGCGGAGCTGGCACGCATTCTCCAGGAGCCTCACTTCCAGGTTCCTGGCTGCTGGCTGCTGCGGGGGTGTGGGTAGGGGTGGCAACTTCCTAGTTGGAACCTGGCTGGGAAGCCAGCACCGGGCCATTTCCCCATGGTCCCTTCTCTTGCCATCCCTTTTCAGTCCCTCCTGGAGACTCATGACTCAGTGGCCTCAAAGACCTATGAGACACCACCCCCCAGCCCAGGTCTAGATCCCACCTTCAGCAACCAGCCGGTGCCTCCTGATGCAGTGCGCATGGTGGGCATCCGCAAGACAGCTGGAGAACATCTGGTGAGGGTCAGGCTGGTGGGGGAGGGGACAGAGAGTCATCAATGGGAAAGGAGAAAGGGCAGGTGGGAGTTGAAGATTAGACCTAGGTCAGCCCAAGGGAGGGCCTCCATAGACTCAGGAGCAGCTATGCATGAATGTGAGTATACACACACACACACACACACACACACACACACACACACACACACACACACTCCCTCCCTCGGGGTCCTCTCCAGGCTGAGGCTATAAGTGAAGAATTGAGACAAGGAGACTTTTGAGTGGGCGCGAGGGTGGGGACAGGAATGGGAGGGCCACCAGGGGCGGAATTTGAGTAGAGATAGCCCTGCCATCCTTTCATCACTCAGGGCGTGACATTCAGAGTGGAGGGCGGCGAGTTGGTGATTGCTCGAATTCTGCACGGAGGCATGGTGGCTCAGCAAGGCCTGCTGCACGTGGGTGATATCATCAAAGAAGTGAATGGGCAGCCGGTGGGCAGCGATCCCCGGGCATTGCAGGAGCTCCTGCGCAGCGCCAGTGGCAGCGTCATCCTCAAGATCCTGCCCAGCTACCAGGAACCCCACCTGCCCCGACAGGTGGGCCTGTCTCCCTGAACCCTACCCAGCTCCAGGCCGGAGAAATGGCTGAGCCTCTTAGCCGTAGCTCCCAGGTCTCTTGGAGTTGCTCCTCTCTAAGTGTTCATGTAAGGGAAAAGGGACAGCAGGCCCTCCCTGCTGACGGCCTCCAGGTGTGGCGCGTAAGCACACATTGACTGGTCTTACGCGTAGGCATTCACACACATATGCAAGGGATATGTGAGCTTCTATGACTAGGAAGTCCTGCGTGACTGTGCAAGAGATTGTGTCTAGTGTCCTGAGTGTGCAAAGACATGCAGGCCTGTGTAAGGTGGGATTGTTACCTGCCCCGGGGGCTGCTTCCTGATTGGTGGATTGTGAAGTTGCTCACCTCAAACTCCTCTTTGGCTTTTGCATTCTCAAAGCTCTGTCCTCCTGGAGGGTGGGAGGGAGAATAAAGGATTAGGTGTCAGTGACCCCTACCTGGGTATCTGCTTCCTTTTTCCTGGGGCCTGACCCAGCCTTGGGCAGTTTCTCAATTGCTAAATCTAAATCTCTTCATTCCAATTGCCAAGGGGAGCACCAGGTAGGCAGGCCTGGAGGCATCAACGCAGGGAGAGTGGCAGGGAGAGGTGTTCTGTCTGTCTGCCAAGCAAGAGCGTGGACAGGCTCTCTGTTCATCCCCTTGACTCTCTGCAAATCCCTGGGCTCAGGTATTTGTTAAATGCCACTTCGATTATGACCCTGCCCGAGACAGTCTCATCCCCTGCAAGGAAGCAGGCCTGCGCTTCAACGCTGGGGACTTGCTCCAGATTGTAAACCAAGATGACGCCAATTGGTGGCAGGTGAGCTCTGGGCACTCCTACAGCATCTCCAAGTCCGGTGCTGGGGCAGAAGAGTTGGGGTGCCGGGAGTGGTCCTCTTACCCAGGTAGGTCTTGGCATGTGCCGTTCCAGGCATGCCACGTAGAAGGGGGCAGTGCTGGTCTCATCCCCAGCCAGTTGCTGGAGGAGAAGCGGAAAGCATTTGTCAAGCGGGACCTGGAACTGACCCCGACCTCAGGTAGGAGCCCCCTCCCCACCTCAGGACCCAATTTAGGACCTTGCATGGTCCGGTTTGCTTACTTGCTTGTTTCCTTGTGGCCAGGGACCCTGTGTGGCAGCCTTTCAGGAAAGAAAAAGAAGCGAATGATGTATTTGACTACCAAGAATGCAGGTGGGTATTAATTCCTGTCCAAGTTGTCTAATAAGTCATAACTCTCTTCCTCACAAGTGACCTGCGGGTCTACTCCGCCTCAGATACTGCCAGCCTCGTTCCTGGGCCTGCCCAATTCCTCTATTTCCCAGGCCTCAAGCACATTTACCCTTGATGTATTCTGAGAGCCCCTTCCCACCCACATGGGGTAGCCCGGTGAGCAGTGCCATCTCTCTGTGCCTAGAGTTTGACCGCCACGAGCTACTCATTTATGAGGAGGTGGCCCGCATGCCCCCATTCCGCCGGAAAACCCTGGTGCTGATTGGCGCGCAGGGTGTGGGCCGGCGCAGCCTGAAAAACAAGCTCATTCTGTGGGATCCAGACCGCTACGGCACCACAGTGCCCTGTGAGTAGGGGCCATGGAGCGGGAGGTGCGAGAGTGGGTGGGTGTGGGGAAAGGAGAACGGAGGGTTGGTGGTGGAGGGATGCTGAGCAGCACCGAGAAGCCCTGAATGAGCATCTTCAGGGACACCAGGTCAAGGTGGTTCCTTGAGCAGGTAGAGCAGTGTGGTATGCGCCCTCTGTGGGTGAATAAGGGGAACTGCAGGCTCAGGATTTGGTGAAAGGGGCTGGCTTTATTTCAGGATTTCTTCTCTCAAGTTTTGCTCGCAAAAACGGGTTAAAAAAAAGGCGAGTGTCTACCATGGGGTATGGTGAAACAGGGTTGAGCTGCGTGTGGCCTATGGCTCAGGGCTTCTATTCTAAGTGATGCGACAGCAGGGGGTGAAGGCGGGCGATGGTGGTTGCTGGAGGCCAGAGCAAGAATGCTAAGCCCAGATTTCTTGACCCTTGCTGTGTGGCTTCGGGCGGCTCCTCGCCCTCCCTGAGCCTCTGCTACCATCAATGTACATGGCATTGGGCAAGCTGTTCTCTGCAGATCCTCCCAGGCAAGCGTCTTGCATGCATTTGTGTATGTGTGTGCACGCGCATGCCCGAGGTGAAGGTGAGAGTAGGTGTGTATGAAGACGCGAATTCTGGGAAGACGGAGGGCAGGCTAGGTCTCCAGGGTTGAGTTCAAGCAACCCACATGGAACCCACATGTGCAGATTTGAGATGGGGTGGCCTGACTCACCGGTTACCCATGCTTCCCCTCCAGACACATCCCGGAGGCCCAAGGACTCAGAGAGGGAAGGGCAGGGCTACAGCTTTGTGTCTCGTGGGGAGATGGAGGCCGACATCCGTGCTGGGCGCTACCTGGAGCATGGCGAGTATGAGGGCAACCTGTACGGCACACGTATCGACTCTATCCGGGGCGTGGTTGCGTCCGGCAAGGTGTGCGTGCTGGATGTCAACCCCCAGGTACTGTCCACGCTTTCATGCTTGTCAGCGTCCTCTACCACACTCTGTTCCCTTCAGCAACCCGTGCATGTCTCCTGGGGTTCCTGTTCCCCTCGACTTGCCAGGGACCCAGCCCCTCTCCAGCTTCCCGGAATCTTCCCGAGCCTCCTCAGTTAGTCTTCACCCCCTGCCAGCTCATGACCCAGGTCCCGGAACCCCGGGCACCCCAAGCATCCACTCTCAGGTGCCCGCCCACCCTGTCGCCCCCACATCCTTCCTGTTCCTAGCGCACGCACGCTCTCCCAGCCTCTTCTTTCCCTGCAGGCGGTGAAGGTCCTGAGGACAGCTGAGTTTGTCCCTTATGTGGTATTCATTGAGGCCCCTGACTTTGAGACCCTGCGAGCCATGAACCGGGCTGCCCTGGAGAGTGGGGTGTCCACCAAACAGCTGACGGTGAGGGGACCTGAGCAGCGGTGGGAGGGTTGCCCAGTTGCCCGGGGTGCTGGAGCTCAGAGAGGTAGGACTTTGGGTCAGTGGTTTGTGTATCTGAAGAGAGGAAGGGCTGAGAGAGGAAGGCAGTGCCCTACGTCTCAGACAGAGCCAGGGACGCAGAACTTTGACTGGAGGCCTACTACGTGCGGCACTCTTCAGAGGGCCAGTAGAAGATCTGAGGGACAGAGGTGGCCAGTGGAAGCTTCTAGAGGAAACTTGAATGTAGTTACCGCATTCCCCCAGGAGTTGCCGAGCTCGGAGCTCAAGGCTCCCCCCAGCCGCGCTCCTGTTACTACAGCTCCTCTGCTTCACAGAGGTGCTCTGGGCTGGGCCGGCATCCTCTCGGGAGCTGATGCCAGCTCTGGGCACGGTGGCCCGGGTAACAAATGCAGCCGGGGCCTCTGGGACATGGCTGCCCTCAGCTCCATTGTGTCCATTGTCCCACTTCCTCCACCACTTCCCAGCTGGCTTCCTTGAGGTCTGGGGCGGGGATTAGCTTGTCCATTTGTGGCATCATCCTGGTACCAGGTAAGTTCTGATGCCACCTCATAGCCATAGTAAGGGGCCCGGTCAGGCTAAAGGATCCACTGGCCAGAGTCAGGCAGGTCCCTGAGCCATTGCTCACTGTGACCTCTTTGTATCTGAGCTTTGTGTCATTAATGGGAGAAAATTGGTCCTCACTTCAGGAACTATAGTGAAGAGCCCATGGGTGGCTTAATGGTTAGTGCTCTATGTATCACAAAAACTCTCCCTCCCTCCCTCCCTCCCATCCATCCAGGCTAGGTGCAGTAGCACAGCCTTGTGGGGCACAGGGAATCTCTACCACTGTGGCTGGGCTTTGGGGTGAGGTAGGCGGGCTGTAGATCCCTCTAGTGACGGAATGGAGCTGGAGGCACTGACTGAAGCCCCTTGTGTGGGACAGGAGGCAGATCTGAGGCGGACAGTGGAAGAGAGCAGCCGAATCCAGAGAGGATATGGGCACTACTTCGACCTCAGCCTGGTTAACAGCAACCTTGAGAGAACCTTCCGTGAGCTCCAGGCTGCCATGGAGAAGCTGCGAACAGAGCCCCAGTGGGTGCCTGTCAGCTGGGTGTACTGAGCCGTGTTCCCTGCCTGGTTGGGAATCCATATTCCCCCATCTGTGACACTCCCCTACCCTGATAATGATCTTTACCCTCCATCTCTGGTTTTCCTTGGATCGCAGTTCCCAGCAGGCTTCAGGACAGAGGTGTGCACTGCCAGGGAGGTGGGTGTTCATAGGGTACCTCTGTACCCAGGTGCTGCCCACTCCCGATGTCCACTGGCCACCAGACATCCCTCTGTATGGACCATGCTGTGTCCAGGAGCATCTCAGAGTCACTTCTGTAATGCTCAGACCATGGGAGAGCAGAGCTACTGGGTGGGGTCTTGTGGTCAGGAGGTCTAGGACCCTGCCAGCCTTTTCTCCACTAGGCTGGCCACACCCACCCTGTTCCCTGGCCCCTCCCACCCCTTACTATAGTCCTTGGAACAACCATGGGCTGTTCTCCTGTGGCCAGGTACTAAGACACTAGTAGCTGGGCATCCCTGGGCAGTAGTGTCAGTCTGGACCATGTTAGATACTGGGGAAGCCCCGGTGAGGGTCAGTTGTTGCAGCCGGTGACAGGTCTCAGCTCCTTGAGGAGCAACCATAGCCTGGTCCCTTGCTTATTCCTAGCTTCTCACTGCCAAAGTCTCTCCACGGATTTTCTTAATGTGTCCCTCTTTTCTAAGCCCTGCTCCTCAACAGTGTAACTGGCAGTGGCAGTAGGCTTAGCCCCCAGGTTTGGAATAGGGCCCAGAGCACTGAGCCCTCCGTTGCTGGAACCAAAAGTACGCCAGGCTCCACAGCCCACACCAGGCTTTGTTCCCTTTGGGCTTTTCTCTAGATAGATCTAGGTGGCCCCCGGCATTAGGGCTGACGTGATGGGGCCTGAGGAGGGGTGGGGAGACTGTAAGTCCAGGCTTGGAGACAGATAGATTACCTTTAGCAACACTAGCCACACAACTCCAGGGGATGCCATTGGCACTCCAGGCGGGACAGTCTGTGCTTTGCCTACTGTGGTGCTGCTCCCTGTTTCTGGGCTCGGTGTTTGTGTGTTGTTCCTGCACCTGCATGGGTTTGCTTGGTTTGAGGGGAGGCAGAGGATTGCTGTCTCTTGAAGGTGGCTCTTTGAGGTACCTTTATGGGTTCCCCCCAGCCCCCCCATTTCTTACAGGCCCCTATCCCAGACCCCAGAGCCTGGGCCTTCCTCTACTCTCCTGTGGTCTCCTGTCCTAAGTACCAGCCTTTAGTCCTTGGGTTAGGGTGATTTTGTAAAATAGGATAACCCTTTTAAGAACTCTGTCCTTGACATCTGGAGACATCTCATCCTTCATCCTTCTTGAGGGGGCCCCCGTCCTCTGGGGGCCCCGCACCCCACCCTGTGCCCCCCTGTCCTCTAGGGGCCCCACACCCCACCCTGTGCCTCCCAATTCTCTTGAGCGTCAGTTTTCGCTGCAGGGTCAGCCCAAGCTGACCCTGAACCACTGTGTGCCCATTTCCTAGGGGAGGGGAGGGGAGGGAGGGAGAAGAAACAGAATATTTATTACAAATGCTAGAAATATATTTATTATATTAGAAACCGCATTTGCATTGCTGTTGTATATGCAAATGAGACTAGAGGTGGGCCTGGCCGCTGCTCATTTGCACAGCTCTGCATACACCCTGTACAGTCATCTTCCCGCCTTTTGTTTCCCTTCAGTCTCTGTCCTTTCCTTCAGTTCAGCTTCTTGCTGTGGCCCAGACCCGACTTAGCCCAAGGGGACTGGTATTGGGAAATAGAGCATTTCCCTGCTTCCTTTCCTCCTCCCCTGGAGGACGAGTGTAGGGTCAGAGCTGCCCCTGATCCCCCTTGATTAAACCACAAAGCCCTCTGACCGAAAGGCCATGGCCTAATAGAGGTCTGGTGGGCACCACGCTGGAGAGTTGGGAGCAGTCTTTCCCTCTGGATACCTACCCAGTAGACTAGCAATCGTCACATCTTCCCTAGCAACGTGCAAGGCGCAGGGCTGGGCCCCTCCTTTCTGAACAGCCTCCTACCTCTCCCACTGAGCCCGACTCTGTACCCCTCCCAAGTGCTGGCCAGGTGGGAATAGAGGCCTTGAGTCTCCTCAGCTAACCTGGCACAGGGCTGAGTTAGAACGTGTTGGTACCCACCAAGCTGGCTCCCTGCCTCCCTCCCTCCCTCCCTCCCTCCCTCCCTCCCTCCCTCCCTCCCTCCCTCCCTCCCTCCCTCCCTCCCTCAGGAGAAGGAGGACCCTGCCCCTCACGGTCCACACTCAGCCCCATTGCGCTTCCTTTGGCTCCCTCTGCCAGTCATCTTAATTCTTAAGTTTTTTTTTTTCCCTTTGATTAAATGTGAAAGCAAATGTTTCTGGGCTCTGTTGGTCTTTGACTGGGGGATTTGACTGGACAGTTTTGGAAGAAGGTGAGGGTTAGGGAATATAGCACAGATAGCGGAATTAAAAAAAAAAGAAACAAAGAGGAAATGAACATTACATGACTGCTTTTAGGTATAGTGGAGGAGAAGGTTTATTGTAGATGTGTGAGAGAGTACAGCCAGAGGTAGGGACAGGAGACATCAGGGACAGGAGACATCAGGGACAGGAGACATCAGGGACAGGAGACATCAGGGACAGGAGACATCAGGGACATGATCAGATTGCGCTGTGCCATGTGAGGAGAGGCGGGAGGGGAAGAGAGAGGGGAGAGAGGGAACCAGGTGCAGTAGCTAGGAGGCCCAAAATACAAAGAGATGGGGGTAACCAAAATGGCTGGATTATATAGGGAAAAGCAGCTCAGCCTCCTGGGCTGGAGAGTTCAGGGTAAGGGGCTGGGTATGCCAGCCAGAAGGACCCTGTAGTGACTGAGGGGAGGCAGGGAGAACTTGGTGACCAGTGTCTGCTTTGGTATGTTAAATAGGCACCACAGCCATTTGTCACGGATTTGAAACCTAACAATAATTCTAGAATGGAAGATGGATTAACCATGGTGTCTTCTTCCCTATCTTGCCCCTTTGGACTGTATCTAAGTGCTTATGCCTGGGAGCTGGTGAACATCAGGGGGACAAAGGACTCAGGGTTTCCATGGCCAATCTACGTGACTCCACATGGAACTTGTGGGACCCTTAGCAGATGCCCCTATGTCCCTAGACCTTGGCTTCATCCTCTGTAAAAGGGTCTCTCAGTGACAATGCTCTCGGGTTCTAAGTGCTTGCTCACCCAAGAGTAGATGACACGGAAGTGTTACTCTTTAGATTCGTACACAGAGGTGTGTGTGGTCCAGGGGATCAGCATCCTTTCCACCTGCAGTCCTTCAAGAGGGAATCGTGGTACCCCCCTCTCCCCATTATCACTGCAGATTCTCCGAGACTGTGCGCAATGGTTTCGAGACGCTCTTCCACTGAATCTAGAGGTTGATGTTTTCACTAACATGTTCCTGGGCTTCAGCATATTACCCCACTCCAGCGCTGGGGTACAGACTCAACAGTGATCCTTTCACAAGGGACCTGAACTCGGGTCCTCTTGCTTGCATAGCAAAGGCTTTACCTGCCCTCCAGGAGAGGTTAGGAGAGGAGGGAGGGAAACCGAGAGAAGTAAAGGGCCTGGGGAACAGGGGCATCAGGAAAAGAAAGGACAGAAAGAAAACACTCTCTTCCTCAGGACCCCATGTTCCTACACATGCAAATCCTTCTAGAGCTTTCCAATAGCAGTTAACCGCCCCCCCACACACACACAAAGATTCGCTCTGCAAATTAAACAGCTAGTGACAGAACCGGTTGGGTAAACTGGAGCACACCCATATGCTGGAACAGTGTTCAGCTGAGAAGCAGTTTATTATACAAGGTTTGCAGGACACGGAGGGACGCTTGTGAGGGAATAGCAAGGGCAGCGTGAAGGGCACGGTGGGGTAACCCCTCTGTGAAATGGGCAACTGAAAAATACATGAAGGAGAAACGAGGGGATCCAGCTAAGCGTGGCCAGGGTGTCAACAGGGCTCGGTGAGATTCTAGGAGACCTTAAAAACATTGTTCCCGTTTTTTGTCTTTCTCCCTATATTTCTATGTTTTATATGCTGAACCATTTGTCAAAACAAAATAGAAAAATGGAAAAAAATGGCTGATCCCGGCTATCTGTCCCTCATCTAGCTGGCCTGGATTTATCCTCCAGTACTAGAGTCTAGTTTCTTCCTGTTGCCTTCCCCCCCTCTCCCCACTCTGGTTTCCTCCTGCTTCCCTAGCCTCCAGAGCTCATGGAGTAGTAACTCTTCCTCCAATGTCTTTCCAACGCTAGGATTCAGGGCCGTGGGGAAGGAGAATGGAAAGAGCCAATCCTGGCCTGGCTGCCTCCGTCACCTCCGTTGTGTACCTGTTCGGGAAGGTATCAGGAAGCTCCGGCTGGGGCTGTGGTGTCATGGTCAGAGCTCTAGAGAGCATGTCGGGGACCCCACAGTTAAAGACAAAAGGAAGGAAGACTCTCCAGGTGAGAGGGAGCTGAGGATCCATCGGGCCAAGTGTAGCAATCCTGGGTCACTTGCCAGAGCTGTGAAGTCCTGGGCCTTGCCCTAGAGATGGTTTGGTACGGGGCTTTAGAATTCTGTTTTGCTTTCTGAAGGGTCAGGATGCAGGTGTTTTATAGACACACACATGTTGTCTCCTCCACAGCACCTGATGCAGGAGAGTTGAGGGAGAAGTTGGGATATGTAAAGGAAGGGAGGCCGGATGGGAGGCAGGATGGTTGCTGGGCACCCGTGTCTGGGGAGTTTCCTGGAGCCCATAAAAACTCAGCCCTCATCTACTGAGCCTTGCCAGACCCTGGTGAAGGTCCGAAGCTGTGCACTCTTCCTAGGGATTGGAACATGCTGGGGGCAGTCCTGGCCTCTGGCTGGACTTGTTAAGTACCACACTGGGCTTCAGGGCTCAGAGACTCTTCTTTTCTATTCTGGGACACACGAGAAGGGAGCCCTGGAGTGTGAGCAGAGCCTGGGAATTCTTACGAACTCAGCCGTTCAGCTTTACAGTGCCTGACTACAGGACAGTCTGCAATCACACGGAGATGAACTCGGAGAAGGCCAGTCCCTCTGCTGATATCTGCAGGGGAGGGGCTGCCATCGTGTCCTCCTCGGTGTTCAGGGGAGGGGTGGCCTCTTCCTCTGTAGTCTGGAGAGAGGATGGTGAGGTTGAAAAGCAGAGCCTGGTGCTGGTGAGACCCCCACCCTAGCAGAGACCCCCCCACAACCAGTCTCATCTCTTGGTTGTGGTGTACGCTTTTGTAAGACGGTCTCACCATGTAGACTGTGTTATGATAAAGCATGAGGGGAACCTTGGTGGATTCCATGGCAGGCGAGAGTCTTACTTTTTTTTTTTTTTTTTTTTTTTGAGACAGGGTTTCTCTGTGGCTTTGGAGGCTGTCCTGGAACTCGCTCTGTAGACCAGGCTGGTCTCGAACTCACAGAGATCCACCTGCCTCTGCCTCCCGAGTGCTGGGATTAAAGGCGTGCGCCACCAACGCCCGGCTTAAAGGAGTCCTTTGTACCTGCATGAATACTAGTAGTTATGGAACCCTGGGCTGACCAGGGTACTGCCTGAGTGCATTCTGCCAGGTGACAGGGGCAGGCCAGCATAATGCCTGAATCCTTGCAGGCTGATTTCTAATCTCCCAGCTTTTCCTTCTGACCACAGACTCCGGAATAACAGGATTACAAGCACCACAATGCTCAGCTCAACTGAGAGCTCTTTAAGCAGACACCCAATATGCTGTTAAAGAATCTTCTGAGCTGGGCAGTTGTGGTGCATGCCTTTAATCCCAGAATTTGGGAGGCAGAGGCAGGCAGATCTCTATGAGTTCAGAGGTCAGCCTGGTCTACAAGTGAGTTCCAGTAATCCAGGACTGTTACACAGAGAAACCCTGTCTTGAAAAACAAACAAACATCAAGCAAACAAACAAAAAAAGAAAAAAAGAAAAATAAAGCCAGGCGTTGGTGGTGCACGCCTTTAATCCCAGCACTCGGGAGGCAGAGGCAGGTGGATCTCTGTGAGTTTGAGGCCAGCCTGGTCTACAGAGTGAGTTCCAGGACAGCCTCCAAAACAATAGAGAAACCCTGTCTCAAAAAAACCACACACACACACACACACACACACACACACACACACACACACACACGGATTTTCTAAACAAGGAAGAGGATAATGTGAAGTTTGGAGCCTGGGTAAAAATGACCAGGGCTTATTATGACTTTGATAGGCTACATAGACAGATGTGAGGGTGCAGCTTCTGGGGGAGAGGATGCTGGGGAAAGACAACCCCCATCCCCCTCATCCCTCCCACCCCCCTGTGCGCCTTGTCCTCAGTTTCTCAGTGGTGTCAGATAGCATGGGTTCCAGAGCCCTTCTGTCATACCTGGCCAAGGTGCTGGGTCTCTGTGGAGAGCACAGCAGAGAGCTTGGGGTTACCAAGATACTCAGGAGGCGCTGCAAGGTTGATCATGGCATCTTCAGGTACCCAGCTGTTCCCTGGCAGCTGTAAGAGAGACTTGGTCATAACTCAGAACAGCCTATTCTTAGCAGCATAGACAGCCTGGAGTTAAGCCCAGAGGAGCAAGAGAGGAAGGACACAGTTCTGGGGCCATATGACTTCCTACACCTGGGTGTTAACCTTGGCAAGCTAGAAACTCTCAGGAGACCAGTTTCCACAGCTGCAGTGAGAATACATGTTTTTTCTCAGGGTCATAAAAATCCAGATAAAGACAGGGCCTTGAATGTAACCATGAATGATCCAGAACTTGCAAGCAGGCTGTCTGTTCTTTTTCATGGGCCTCAAAGATTCACTGTGGCTATTCCATGTTTAGGGATGGAAGGTGGTTCTTTTTCTGGAGTCTGAGGGACCAGCCTTGGGCAGTACATATGACTGGAGTTCTCCAACCCTTGCCTCACAGACCTTGGATAGTTTTGTCTAGTTCTGTTTTTCTCAGGCTAGGTTACTGTGGGCATAGAATTACCCTCTCTGGATCTCTGTTGCCAAGTCTACAAAGTAGAGGAAATAACAATGCCTGCCTCAATAGAAGCAACAATGGGTGAAGCCCCCATAGCCTGCTGTCACCATGTCAGCTGTGTGTAGCCCAGGCTAGCCTTGAACAGCATACTCCTTCCTCAGCCTCCTGAGTGCTGGATGTCAGGTGTGTGCCACCGCCATGTCCAGTTCCTTTGGCTGTCACAGGACAAGGGTCCTTTTCCTCCTTGGATGTGAATGTGTGCAAAGAAAATCCCCCAACCACTCCTATTTGTCCCCAGCCTCTGCCGAAGGCTGCAAAGGTCTGATGGGAAGCATACCAAGAGAAGATGTGTCTTCGGCTGCCCATGTTCTGGAGGCCTCTGACCTTCAAGGTCCTCTCCTCTAATCCTTCCAACTAAAGCAGCCACTGCTCAGTGTTCTGCTCAAACTGCCCTGGGCTCCCTTCTTACCTCTGCAGGGGGAGATCAGGGGCCCCAGGTGGTCCCTCCCAGAGTGATGGACAGGAGGCAGCAGTGAGGAGACACACCTCCACCCCTGCTGGTTTCCTGAACCCCAGCACTCTCCCCACAGCACACAGCCTGAGGGCTGAGCTCCGAAGGTGGCCTGTGGTGGTAGTCCATCCCTGTGACTTTTCCCTCACTCCCCTTAGCCACTCTTGGCCTTGTTCCACTTCCCAAGACAACAACAGCTGCTTCCTAACTCCAGAAAGAGCCCATTCTCACCCAGCCTTCCCCTGGGATCTGCCTGGAGTCTTTTTGTCTTTATTGGCGCCAGGAAAGAAGGGGATGATGGTCCCCCTTTCCTGGCTCCATGTTTGGAGGAATAAGAGTAGAATGTAAGTAATTGAGATTTGGGGGCAGGGCATCAGGCTAGGCAAGTGGGATTTTTGTTTCTTGAATACAATTCTGTAGCACCCCTTCCTCCCCTTGGGGGGCACTGGCCTTCGAAGTGGGACAGCTTGGCTCCTCAGGATGATGGGCACAGGGACCTCTGTACACCCCCCCTCCCACGGGTTCTCTGCTCACAACCGGGTCCTTGTGCAGCAAAATCTCAAGCGGCATGGGCTCAGAATCACTGGGGGACCAGAAACGATGTTCTGAGAGATGTGGGGCGGGAGAGACGGCTCAATGGTTAAGAGGACTGCTGTCCTTGTAGGGAACCTCAATTTGGTTCCCAGCACCTACACGGAGGCTCACAATTGTCTGTAACTCCTGTTCCAGGGGATCCAATGCCCTCTTCTGGCCTCCGTGGGCAACAGGCACAAAGGCAGGCAAAACACTCATATGCATAAAATAAAATAAATCAATCTTTTAAAAGAATCGAGAAGGGGGCTGGAGAGATGGCTCAGTGGTTAAGAGCACTGGCTGCTCTTCCAGAGGTCCTGAGTTCAATTCCCAGCATCCACATGGCAGCTCACAGCTGTCTGTAACTCCAGTTCCAGCAGATCTGGCATCCTCACATAGACATATATGCAGGCAAAGCATCAATGCACGTAAAATAAAAATAAATAAATTATTAAAAAAGACTTGAGAAATCTGAGTGCCGCTGTGTGAGTTTGGGGCAGATTTTCATACTCCCTGGGCCACCGTTTCATTTGTAGAAGTGCACTGGAGCCATGTTTGAGGGGCCCTTGCACTCTGGTGTGTCGTGGGGTCCCCAGCCCCAGCTCTGGAAGGTTGGGCTGCAAGCGGGACCTGGGAGATCCCATCTCCAACGCTGCTGACAGGTGAGATGGGCTGAGTTTGGATAAACACTGGACCCGGGTTCCACAGGGATCCTTCTCGCTCCAAGAAGTCCCCCGATTCTAAATAGCGTGGGAAGAGGGTACCCGCCCGGTGGAATGGTGCCCACCTGGTTCTTGGCGACCCTGCCTGAAACCAGCTGTGAATCCGGGCTGATGATGCGCATGCCGTGAGCTCACACCCTAAAGGGCCAGTCTGGAGACTCCCACAGATCCCTTCAAGGCTGGAAGCAAGATCGGTGGGATAGAGATGGGCCCGGAAGTCTGACCTCAGTTCCAGATGGGTTGATTTCAGACTTTGGCTCCCTGGGTCCTTACCGAGGCCGGGAGGTGAACCTTCTCGTTCCGCTGTGTCTCTGTGGCCAGCCAAGCTGAAAGAGACCCCGGAGAGCCTTGAGGTCACGAAGAACTTGAGCCAGTCCCAGAATGCACAGGCTCACTGCATCTGTGTATAAGGGATTCCCAGAGGGACCTGGCAGGGCCCTGAAGCAGGAAGCTCTGTCTAGCCCAGCCTTTTCGGAAGGAGTTGGCATTTGAGAATCTTCTATGTGAACTAGAAAGTGGATGAGGAAACTGTGTTCACTTCTAGAACTTTAATAAGCGTAGGGGACATCCACAGTTTGGATCTTAATTGTCCCACTGGAAGCTTGGTTCCCAACTTGACGCTGTTGAGAAGTGGTAAAACTTTTAGGAAGTGGAACCTAGAGGGAGCACTTCAGGCCAGGGGCACGTTTTTTGGAGGGGGTCTGTGGGACCCCGTCTTCTTTTCACTTGCTAGCCGTGAGTGAGCAGTTTTGCCCTCACCATGACGTATCTTTTCAGAAGCCCAAAGAAATGGCCAGCTGACACGAACTGATAACCTTCCTCTGTGCTCAGAACGACTGCGCTAGGTATCCTGAGGGCTAGTTTTCTTATCACACAGGTTCTGAATAAAACGGTGGGATTGAGCTCTGAGACTCTGCATTTCTCACAGGCTACCAGAGGGGGCGCTGCTGCTTGCTGGGGAGCCACATTTCCGGAGGTGGGATGCTAAGTGACTTCATAGTTGAAGCTGTTCCCATCCTGTGTGTTCCCTTCTGGCCTCCTCTGAGGGGACCTGAGGACACGAATAAGCTGAGATTTCTTCCTGGGAGTCACAGGGACAAGGTAGGAAGCAGGCCCAGGATGGCCCCAGGCCCACCTTCTCTGGGATGCCATTAAAGGTATCTTCCTGGTTCCACTATTTCCTATGCCTACAAACACAAGGCAAGTGCTTAACCCTCCAGTTTCCTCCACTATAAGATGGGCTATTCCCCAGCACAGGAGGGAAATGTTGAGGAGATGCAGGGCCTTGCCTGGCCCCTGTCACTCTTAATACCGTGACATCACATAATCTGGTTGGCCCCTACACCCCCCACCCCCCCACCCTAGAACAGGAGCCAGAAGTCACACATGTCACCCAGCACTGGAATGTGGTCATATGAAACCATACCTAAGCCTCCAAAGGCTCAACATGAAAAAAAAAAGTAGGATATGATCATCAAATTTTGTTGAGATTTTGAGATTGGGGTCTGGCTGTATTGCTCAGGCTGTTTTTAAATTCTTGGACTGATCCTCCTGCCTCTGTCGTAGTAGCTGAGACTACGGGGCTTACATGACAATATCCGGCTTTCCTTAATATTTTAATATTGGTTCTATGCTGAATTGATCATGTTTCAGGCATATTGATTTGGATGAGATTTAATTGTTATCGTTCAAACTAAATCTGCTAGCTCTTTTGTTCTGTTTGCTTGGTTTTTTTTTGTTTGTTTGTTTGTTTAGACACATAGCTCAGGTTAATATTGACTATCCCTGAGCTCCTGCCCCTCCTTTCTCCATCTTCCAAGTGCTGGGGTTATAGGTATATGCTTCTGTTCTGGCTCCTTTAATTTTCATATAAAAAATTTTCCAGTTGAATTGTTCTTCCCAGTGCTGGCTGCTTCATGGCTCCCTCCGAAGGGAACAGCTAGGTTGTTTTGTTTTGATTTGTTTTTTTGAAACAGGGTTTCTCTGTGTAGCCCTGGCTGTCCTGGGACTGGCTTTGTAGACCAGACTGGCCTCGAACTCAGATCCTCCTGCCTCTGCCTCCCAAATGCTGGGATGAAAGGGGTGCGCCAGTGTGCACAGTGAACAGCAAGGTTGTCAGACAGACCCACCACGGCCTGCAGGCCTTTCCAAGGTTGGTGAAGTGTCACAGGTGTGCACGAGCCTCCTCCCGCCGCCCCCTCAGCCACTTACCTTTCCTTCTCCACTGGAGCATGTGGCTGCTGAAGGCAATCAGACCTGCAGCCAGCAGAAGGGACAAGAGCACCCAGACTGGGGCCATCATGCGGACCATCGGGATGGACACGCTAGAGGAGAGATGGAAGGAGCATTGCCAGGTCAGCCATCTATGTCCTTGAATCCCATGCATACGCTGAGACAGCCGGCTTCCAGCCTGATGGCTAATTTAACCAGGCTGAGACTGGCGGGGTACTCAAACCCCGAATCCAGGTTTGCTGGATTTGAACCCTGGTCTTGACACTTTAGGGGCATGTCACTTTGAGTAAATGACTTAACAACCTTATAGACCACCAATTTCACCTCCCACGAAGCAGGGTTGTGAGGATCAAACAAGGTGGGATGTTTAAGATACTGAGTTCAGGGGGCTGGAGAGATGGCTCAGAGGTTAAGAGCACTGATTGCTCTTCCAGAGGTCCTGAGTTCAATTCCCAGCATCTGCATAGCATCTCACAACTGTCTGTAACTACAGTTCCTCACACTCTTACACAGGCTTACACATGCAAGCAAAACACCAATGCACATGAAAAAATAAATGAATAAACATTAAAAAAAGATACCAAGTTCAAAGCCAGGTAAGGTGATTCAAGATTACAATCCTTGCACTTGGAAAGTGAAGGTAGGAAGATCAGGTCATCCTTGTTTACATAGGAAGTCAGAGGTCAGCCTGACCTTATCTCAAATTAAATACTCCTCCCACTAAGAATAAATCTTAATATAGTACCTAGCTACATTTGCTGCTAAACTGTACAGTTCACTAAGCAGTAATGGTCCCATGTTATGCTGGAAAAAACTGGGGTGCTAGGATCGAGCCTAGGACCTCATTCATGCTAGGCTATCCCTCCACTACTGAGCTGTATGTCCTACACCCCTTACTTCAGAAATTATTCATTATTAAATATGCATTAGTATTGAGCGCATGATTTGGAGAGGGAGAGTGTGGCATGGTGTGCATGCTGAGGTTACAGAACAGCTTTGTGGAGTCTGTTCTGTCTATCTTCTCTTCTGTGTGTTCTGAGGGCCAAACTCAGATCACCAGGCTGCACCCCAAACACTGTACTGACCGAGCAGTCTTACCAGCCCCACTTTTTATTTTCAGACAAGGTCTCACGAAGTTACCCAGCCTGGCCTTGAACTTGTGGCCTTCCTAACTCAGTCTTCTAAGTAGTTGGAATTATAGGACGGTTCTCCACATCTGGCAAGAAATGGGGAGACTCACTCGTCTGAAGGAGGTGTCACCAGCACCAGTTTGATGGTAGCACAGTCAGGTCCCTTGCTGCCCAAGGAGATCAGAAGGCATGAGGGGCCAGTGTTTCAGAGCCTATCAGTGTGCTCTCTGCCTGAGGTACCCCAGTCCTACAAGACACTTTCAGCCTGGTCTGAACCTCCTAGTGGTGACCCGCAAGCCAGGAACTGGGAGTAGGTAGATCCCCAGAACCCTTTGCTGCAGGCTGGGATCCAGCTATGTAGAGAAAAAGGTTGGTGAAGGTTTCATATTTTTTTACAGCACATGGCTCAGGGCAGAGTATACAGGGAAACTCTTGAGTTAAGGTGACTTGAGTGGAAGAGAGCTGAGTAGACCTGTCACCTCAGATGGCCCTGTGTGTCCAGGGCTGTAGGATGTGTGCTGCCTGAGGCTCCCCGCGAGGGGAATGAGGCCTGAAATCCACATTCTGAGCCACAGGCAGTGGCCACTACTAGAGGAAGTATCTGCCTGGAGGCAAGAAAGAAGTCTTAAAGTTGAGGGGTGACCTCGGGTCCCCTGGACTCACCTGAACTTGGAGACACTGCTGGCCTTGGAGTCCTTTGCTGTGGTGGGGGACGGCCAGATAACTGGGCGGGAGCTCCCTGCATGAGGAGAGGTCGCTGTGTGAGGAGAGCTCCCAGCATATGGAGAGGTTCCTGGGGAAGGGGAGGTTCCTGCAGACGAGCCTGGGGTCGCTGTGTGAGGAGAGCTCCCAGCATACGGAGAGGTTCCTGGGAGAACCTGGGAGGTTCCTGCAGACCCGGCCAGTGGGGCCGCCTCAGTGAACACAGGGGCCTTAACCCCTGTCTTCCCCTGCTTGGCTGTGACGACTGTCGGGTGGAGACCAGGAGAAGTTATAAGTCCAAAAACAAAGCCTCAGCACCTACCCTGGCCCTGGAGCCCCACCCAGTTTGACCTCTGAACATGACCCTTCCCAATCTCTCAGGACATCCTCAACTAAAACACTCCCCAGAAGGCAAGCAGAGGCCTAAGTGGGGCGCTTGGGGCCAGGCACATCTATGCATAGTCTTTTTCCGTGAGAGGACCCTACACGACTCTGTAGACACCTTCCTCACCCTCCCCTTAGTTCAGGCCAGGCTAACCTCTTCTCTGACCAAAATGCAAGTTCTCAGTCTGCCCAGCACTGGCCTCCCGACGGCTGTGCCCCAGTAAAACCCAACCATCAGTTGCCGAAGGCCACAGAGAGCAAGGTGGCAAAGGCAGACCTGATGTGGGCCAATGTCTGGCAGGCCCCCAGATCCTGCGGAGGAGCGTTGGGGTCAGCTGTAGCCACTTCCCATATGACCCTGAGCCAGTGCCCCAGGCCCTCTGAGCCATCCTGGCTTCTGAGGTTGCGGCCCTCACTGTATGTTTCCTGAGATAGAGAAGGGGCAGGAAAGCCATTCACTCACTCAGTTCTGGGACCCGAGTCTGCCAGGCTTTCGCCTTGGGCTGCAGGCTCCTTGTAGCTGTAAGAGGCGGGGAGGAGGGGTTGGGGGAAGAAGGACAGCAGGTGCCAGTGGGGATGGGACTGTCCCTTTTTCCTAGAGGAGAGGGAGAGGCTGCTCTCAGGGGAGGGAGACATTGCCACAGCGGGGCCCCTCATCCTCAGCAGAAGCGCCATCATTGTCTCCGCCCAGCCAATCAGGGGCCATTAACTGGCGGTGACTCCCAGGTCTTCCCCACCTGCTGTTCATATTGGCCTCTCATTGGGTCAGGTCTTCTGTGTCCCTGACCCCAGCCCGCTTCCTTCATGCCACCCTTTGTAGGGACTCCTGGATTTCTGAAGCACACCTTGGATCCTATCGCCTCTTGCTTGGGAAGCTTGCTTAGTGTGTCTCTCAAGGCCTTTGAAACTCAGGCTTCAAATCATCCTGTCAAAGTTACCTCTTTCCCCATGTGGAACTCGCTGGTCCATGCCCCGAGTTCCGGGTCACCCTTCCCACTGCTGTCCCTTTGCCACGTTGATCCTCTGTGAAACCATTCCCTTACATCTCTGCCTAAAGCCTCCCCGCTACCTCTGCTCCCTTCTTCTCCCCCCAACCCCCCCCCCCGCCCCCTGCCCTACCCCTTATCCCCTGTGCCCTGCCCTGTCTTCCATCATCAGCTCCAAAGTTAAGTCCCAGCAATGTGGAGGAATTCCCCTTTTCCTTTGTGTATTCCAATATCCTGTGTTTGCCTCCAGGAGGGCCAGTGCTTACTTGGACTACAACTGTGGCTTTGCAGGATCTCCCACGAGGCTGGGATTCCTCAAGGGGTAGTATCCCTGAGCTTTTTCTGACCACACCCAACCTGGAACATTTCGGGATCGCTCTCCATTCTGGATCCTAACCATTTACTTGTGTTCTTTCTAAGTAGCTGACTAGATTTTCTGTAAATAAAGAGCAACCTCTACTTTGTGTGTTTCTAAGTCCCTATCCATTGCCTGGGGCCCCCAGGAGATGAGGAACAGAGGATGCCATAGTGGGTATGCTCAGCCCTGGAGGCTGTCAGTTCACTCTGACCTGTTAACTTTTCAGGAATTCTGGGAGCTGGTTGTTAAATGATTGGCAGATAGAAACTGGCTTTGCAGGAAGGAGTATTGCTACCATAGAAACCTATAAACATTATAGATCAGTGTCCCCAGTGACTGTGGCATACCCACCTACACTACCCTCAGTCATTGGCAGGATGAGCTGTCTCCAGAAGCCAACCACCAACCAGCTCTTACATGAAAGGGATGAAAACGCACGGATCACAGACCTCAGAGAGGTGACTAGAACTCAGGGCAGGAACCAGACACAAGACAGTCTCAAACTAGAGAACACGAGGCTAGGTGTGGTGATACAGGACCTTAGTCCTAGAACTCAGGAGGCAGAGACAGATGGATTTCTATGAGTTCTAGACCAGTCAGAGCTAAAAAAAAAACAAATAAGTAAGTGAAATAAAGATAGAATTAACCACAATTAGGTGAGAGAGAGAGAAAGGGAGGGAGGGAGAGAGAGAGAGAGAGAGAAAGGGAGAGAGAGAGAGAGAGAGAGAAAATGCTGTCCCCTGGGTTAGGGTTAGGGTTAGGGTTAGGGTTAGGGTTAGGGTTAGGGTTAGGGTTAGGGTTAGGGTTAGGGTTAGGGTTAGGGTTAGGGTTAGGGTTAGGGTTAGGGTTAGAACTGGAATAGGCTGGAGAGCCTTCCCAGGAACAGAGAACCCACTCAATGAGTGTTGCTCTATTGTGCAGCTTTAGGGATGCAACCCGAGGCCTTACAGCCAGCAAACGCTCCACCTCTGAGCCACACCCTCCAGTCTCATCAGTGAGGCTTTGGCGCTGCTGCTGCTGCTGCTATTGTTTGGTTAGTTTACTTTAATTTCCCTGAATTGTCATAGAGACCCAGGGGTGACAGAGGATGGGCTCAGGATGGGTCCTGGCTCCTGGGGCTGTCTCGCTAGTAGTTATCTGGGTCCGCATCCTGCCAGCTCTGCTTCCTGCCTTAATCTTAGGCCAGCCACTGAGTGTCTTGGAGTATCTCCGTGTCCCATGTGTGAAGTGATAGTACGGAGATCCAACCAGCTCTCATGGACCGAGACCGGGCTGTCTGTACTCTGGCCCCCTCCGGCTTCCCTGCCCTGAGTTCTCCACGCAGAAGGTGAAAACAGTGTACAGAGACCATCAGTACGGTGAGGCCACTGCATGGCTTTGGGGATGCTGAAGGCTGGGGCCATGTTGCAGCAATGGTTGGCCTGGGTTCAGAAGACTGTGGGAGCATTTGTGACACAGGGAATATGCAGGTCCTTCCTTATCTCCCGAGACAGTCACCTTGTCCCCATCCTGTGGCAGTCTCCCCAGTAGATCTAGGCCAAGGGTGACAGGCGTGGCTGCATTTTACTCTATGAAGTCCTGTCAGGGAGACTTGCCAGAGCAAAGGCTTCTCTGAGTTGTCCCCAGGTCTCAGCAGGTATCCCGACTGACTCCCCAAGACCCGGGGAGGCCTGGTGAGGTTGGTACTATGACTGCCACCTTCTCTAATGGGGAAACTGAATCCATGGCTCAGATTTGCTTGTCCATCCCTGTCTCCTCTATATCCCTTGTCACTCAGGCAGTGGGGCGGGGGAGAGTCGTCCATTACCTGGAAAGACGGTGAGAGAGACTTCAAAAGACTCATCCAAACCCAGTCTGTCAATCCCGCACCAGTACTTCCCCGAATCCTCCAGGGTGAGGTCCCTCATGGTCACGGTCATTGAGAGCTCTCGGGGGGTGTCTCGGATGGACATCCTGCCCCGTGCCACCTCCTGGTTTTGACTGGAGTAGACAATGTCAGAGCATCGGGACAGCATGAAGCCACCCTCTCGGCACCAGTACTTCCTGTGTGTCCTCACCTTCTTCTCATAGGTGCACTGCAGGGACACACTGTCACCTTCAAATCCACTGATCTCCCTTGGGCCCTTCAGCGCTTCATAGCCTGAAAACACAGCATGAATGGAGATGGGATTCCCATGGGTCCTAGTGCCAGGCCAAGACCAGAGTTTCCATTTCATGAAGGGGCGGGGGTTGTCAGACCTTCTGAGGAAGCCCTGTAAAACCCCAGGGCTCTCTCTTTTTCTGGGGAACCTTAATACAAACATGTCACTCCTTTTATAAACCCCATTTATTGAAAGGGATAAAGTAAGTGCCCTAGACTCAGATAGCTGGGAGTGTGAGTCCCAGCACTGGGATTCAGCAGCTTTGTGATGTTGGGCAAGTTGCTTAACCCATTTAAGTGTTCTTGCTTGTAACCTGCTTCATCGCGTTTGAGAGGCATGAGCCAGGCTGGCCAGGTAGATCAAGGGGTAAAGCACTTGCTGCTAAGCCTGGCAATGCGAGTTTAAGAGTCAAGAAGGAGAGAACAGACTACCAAAGGTCGTATACAAACAAACAAACAAACAAACAAACATGCCCAACTGAGCAACCGACATCAGTTACAAGTTGCATCCTGATTTTTAGGTCTAATGGGTAAAGGAAGCCCTGCGTGGTGGACACTCTTGTGATCACAGCTACTTGGGAGCAGAGCAAGTTCAAGGCTGGGCTGTCCAGAGTAAACAATGGAAGGGGGGTTGGGGATATAGCTTAGCCCCGGAGCCACTCACTTGGCATGCTCCAGTGCCTATGCTCTGGTATTGCAGAAAAGATAAAAAGGGTAAGAGCAAAGAAAGCTCCCCTGTAGGTGGCGCTCTAGTTACTACTCAGCCCTTTGCCCTCTTGCAATGAACAAAATATAGTGTGTAGTACACACACACACACGATAACAATAATAAATTTAAAAATAAATAAAGCAAGAAAAAATTAAAGCAAAGAAAGAAAAGCAAGTTTAGTAGAAATCCAACAAAATTAGCTGAGTTACAGGGTAAGTGGATGCGTCTTTGTGATCAGAGAGGCTTCGCTCTTTTACACCTGCACAGCCACTCAGACACACACACACACACACACACACACACACACACAGACACACACACACAGACAGACACACACACACACAGACACACACACACACACAGACACACACACACACACACACGTACACGCGCGCGCTTGGGTCTAAGCTCAAAACCAGCAGGTGCCGCTCCTGGGGCTGCCCAGCTGAGGACAGCTTAGATGGGCTGAAATGTGGAAGCATTTCCCTTCACCCCACCTCCTCATGTAGTGGAAGGAAAGTGCGAGTCTGCAAGCCCGAAGAGCAAGCTCAGGCCCGCACCTGCATGCCCCTCCATCCCGCCACCGCCACCCCCTCACCTGGGAGCACGAGGCAGCTCCACAGCAAGACTAGAGGCCGCATGGTGGGTGATGGACACTCTGGGAGCAGATGCTGCAATCGCCAGCTCCTTCGGCCACGCGAAGCTTTAGCTTCCTGCAGAAGCGCCAGGCTGGGACCAGGAAGGCAAGGGAGGGGCGCGCTGTCACCTAGCCCAGCCCAGTCTGAGAGGCGCCTCCGCTTTTCCTCCTGCTACCCTTGTGTCAGTTACTGCAGCCTGTAGACCCGCACCAACTCTTCTCCAAAACTACAGCTTCTGCTTAACCTTAATCTGTGATCTGAGCACTCCAGCTCTGCCGGCGTCATTCAGGAGTCTGCGGGCTCCAATGGGAAAAACTTGCATCATGGCCTTTAGGAACCTCTGAAAGACTTGTTTTCCCTTCTTTAAGAATTCCCAGCACTTATGCCCGGGTGGTGGTGGCGCACGCCTTTAATCCCAGCACTCGAGAGGCAGAGGCTTAGATCCCTGTGAGTTCGAGACCAGCCTGGTCTACAAGAGCGAGTTCCAGGACAGCCTCCAAAATCACAGAGAAACCCTGTATCGAAATACCAAAACAAAAAACAAAAACAAACCAAAACCAAACAAACAAAAAATGAATTCCCAGAGGTGCGTAGAAGCTGCCACTGTTAACGACAAAAATCACAAACCCTGGAGCAATCAGTTGTTGCCAATATTCCAAAACATCGTGCATATGCCTCACTGTTTAAAAAGTTATTAGTTTTAGACCTTCCCCTAGATCTGAGTATTCAAGTACTAAATATGGAAGCATATTTATTGACTAGTCTACCACTGATGATATGTTTAAAACTGCTTTCCTATTTTCAGTATTTTAATATAAGTTTATCATTTTCATTTCATTTAATCAGTATTATTATCTTGGTTTTTCGAGACAAGGTTTCTCTCTGTAGCCCCGGTTGTCCTGGAACTCACTTTGTAGATCAGGCTGGCTTCTAACCAACAGAGATCCACCTGCCTCTGCCTCCTAAGTCCTGGGACTAAAGGCCTGCGCCACTCCCTCCCACCCCCCACCCCCGGCTATTTTCATTTTATTTTGTATGTGTATGGATGTCTTGCCTGCATATGTCTGTGTGCCGTGTGTGTAGTGCCCACTGAGGCCACGGGAGGGCGCTGGTTCTCCAAGGGCTGTGAGCCGCCATATAAATGCTGAGCACTAAGCCAGGGTATTGGAAGAACAGGAAGTGCCCGTAACTGCCGAGCCATCCCTCCAGCCCTCTGTTTTCAGTTTACTAAAAATTTTAAATTACATTTTCAGAGGACAACTTTGTAGAGTCCACCTTTTCGGGGCTTCCAGGAATCCAACTGAAGTTGCCAGGCTTGTGTGGAAAGCGCTTTTTAACCCCTGAGCCATCTGGTGAGCCTTATTTTAAACACGCATGCCTGTTCCAATGTGTACGAACCATTGTTTTGAGATGGAGATTTACAAGCTTCTCCACATGGCTAAAGAGTTCAGTGGTTTCGGTACAACTTTTTTTAAAAAATGTACTTTTTTGTTTCTTTCTCTCTTTTTTTTTATTCTTGTCTCATATGATACATCCTAACTTCAATTTCCCCTCCCTCTGCTCCTCCCAGTTTCCCCTCCCCTCTCTTCTCTCCCCCAGACCCACAGCTCCTCTATTTCCCTTCAGAAAAGAGGAGGCCTCCCAGGGATATCAATCAAAGACAGCAAAACAAGTTATAATAAGACTTGGTACAAACCCTCCTTCCGGGGTTGAGCCCAGTAGGAGGAAGAGAGTGCCAAGGGTAGGCAGAAGAGTCCGAGACACCCCCACTCCCACTGTTAGGTGTCCCACAAAAACGCCAAGCTAACAACCATACCATGCACACAGAGGACCTAGCACAGACCCAGGCGGGCTCCTCTCGGTGACTGTTGCTTCAATCTCTGTGAGCCGCTGTGAGCTCTGCTTAGTTGGTTCTGTGGGCCAAGCTCTCCGACCCCTCTGACTCCTGTAAGTCTTCCTCCCCGTTTTCATGGGGTCCCCAGAGCTCCGAGGGAAGGGACCCAATGGAGATCTCCAACAAGGACATTCTCTGCGCCTAATGTTTGGCTGTGGGTCTCTGCACCTGCTCCCATCAGCTGCTGGAAGAAGCTTCTCTGGTGATGCACTTATCTATGAGTTTATCAGAGTATCATTAGGAATCATTTTATTGATTTTTTTTCCTACTCTAGTCTCTGGGCTGTCTAGTACCCAGTTCCAGACCATCCAGGCAGTGTTGGGCATGGGCTCCCTTTCATGGTGTGGGTCCCAAATTAGTCCAGTCATTGGCTGGCCGTTCCCATGACATTTGCTCCTCCATTGCTCCCACTCTCTAGCAGGAAGGACAGATTGTGGGTTGAAGGTTTTGTGGCTGGGTACCAGTCCCACTGACAGTGGTGCAACTTTTTTTTTTCTTTTTTCAAGACAGGGTTTCTTTGTAGCTTTGGATCCTGTCCTGGAACTCACTCCAGCCTGGCCTCGAACACACAGAGATCTACCTGCCTCTGCCTCCCAAACACTGGGATTAAAGGTGTGTGCCACCACCTCACTGAGTCATCCCTCCAGCCCCTGGTACAGCTTCTTTGTTTTTCAAATAGGGCTTCTCTGTGTAGCCTTGGCTGTCCTCAAACTAGCTCTGTAGACCAGGCTGGCCTCGAACTCACAGAGATTCGCCTGCTTCTGTCTCCTGAGTGCTGGGATTAAAGGCGTGTTTGCTACCACTGCCCGGCCTTCTACAACTTTTAAGGACCAATAGCATTCTCCTACTCCCCACGGCACCACCATCCAGGACGCAGTACCTCCCATGGCCACCGGGCGGCGGTGCATGCAGGACTGAGCTGAACTCAGCTGGAAAGTGTGTTGCCTGAACCGTGGCTTTGTCTTGTTGGGCACTTGCAAAAGTGAATTCGTGGCTTGTTTCTTCTTCCCAGACTTGCATAATCCTTCGAGGAACCAGAAAGAACATTCACACTAGAGGGAGCTCTGAGCCATTTTCCAAAATAGCTGTCTTTTTTTGCTTGCAAAATTTGTATAGCGTCTAAGCAAGAGTTTATATAATACAGATATGTAAGAAAGAAGGGAAGACGAGGAGGATAGTAGAAGTTAAAGCATTAGCTGAATGGTTGTCGGAGGGGAATTTGTTCTTGTGGCTCTGGTAACAAAGGCATGAAGAGTACATATGCTTATTTTCTAATTTTGTGTGTGTGTGTATGTGTGCGTGAGCACATGCACATCACACCATGCTATAGAGCGCAGAGGATACCTTGCAGAATTCAGTTCTGTCCTTCCACCACGGGAGCTCCCAGGATATATCACAGGCCGTCGCGTTTGACTGCCAGAGCCTTTCTGCACTGAGTCATCATCTCCTCAGCACAAGGGCTCATGTCTTGATCCCGCAGTGATTGGTCGGCACTGCTGCTAGGTCATCTTGGACCAGGTTGGACCATTTCATCTTGAAACCCTACTGAGCTCAGCCTGAATATGAGTTCCCTTGTGTACAGATCATCCCAGCAGGTAGTTATTGCAGTTTGAAAAACAAACAACACATACACACCAAGTAATATCTACTCTAGCTTTTCTTTTTCAGGCAGGGTTTCTCTGTGTAGCTTTGGAGCTTGTCCTGGAACTCACTCTGTAGATCAGGCTGGCCTTGAACTCCCAGGGGTCTGCTTGCCTCTGCCTCCCGAATGCTGGAATCAAAGGTGGTCACCACCATCTCTGGGCTACTCTAGCTTTTCATAGTGTATTTCTGCATGCTTTTATTTCTAAATGTTTCCTGCTCTAACTTCCTATGCTGAACTTGTTATGATAAGTGGGGCAAACGCTTGACACTTCATTATATTTTCTAGGGCCGTAGGGCCTGCTGCCTGACATTTTGAAATATGTGCTGTTTGGTAATAAATCGTTTTCTTTTTATTTCTTTTCCCTCGTACAGCTGGGGCATTATAGTATAATTTAGAAAATTAAGCATGTGAGCAGGCATATTATTTATGATTGTCCTTTCAGGGGAGTACAGGGCATGTTACCAAATGCTTATTTATATACATGGAGCATCGGGTGTGAGGCTTGTTCTCCATGTTCTCTTCCTGCATATTTGAATGTCCTTGACCTCTGCTCTGCCAGCTCCATACCTAGCCCAGGAGCTGGCCTCGAGACTCTGTTAAAAACAGACCTTCTGGGGTTAGAGATACGGCTCATGGATTAAGAACATTGAGCAGTTGATTCTCAACACCCAAATGGTAGCTCACAACCATCTGTAGTTCTGATACCAGAGGATCTGACACCCCTTCTGGCCTCTGTGAGTACCAGGCACAGGCATAGTGTACATGCATGCATGATGGCAAAACACTCGTATACATAAAATAAAAAATAATTTGAAAATCTTTCGGAAACAAAACATCTTCCAAAAGCCAGACGTTGGTGGCGCACGCCTTTAATCCTAGCACTCGGGAGGCAGAGGCAGGCAGATCTCTGTGAGTTCGAGACCAGCCTGGTCTATAAGAGCTAGTTCCAGGACAATCTCTAAAGCCACAGAGAAACCCTGTCTCAAAAAACCAAAACCAAAAACCAAAACCAAAAACAAGACATCTTCAGAACAAGAGAGAGTACTGTGGAAAAGGGTGGGGATGGGGACTGGTGTGGGCCTGCCCTTGGTCCTAACTTCAGACGATATCGGGCACATTCAGTGTGGTATGGCCGTTGACTGGTCCTAACTTCAGATTGACAAGATGAGAGCAACAGAGAGGATCATGTTCTAATTTTTATTTTTAAAGATTCATTTAATTTTCAATTTTATGTTCATGTGTGTCTGTGTGATTTTCGGAGGCCAGAGGGCACCAAACTTCCTGAAACTGGAGTTACAGGCTGTTGTGGCATACACCTGATGTGGGTACTTGGTTCCTCTACAAGAACAGTAGATGGTCTTAGTCATTGAGGCATCTCTCCACCACAGAGAGCCACCCCCTTGTTTGTTTATTTAGCTTGTGTGAGCATGTACAGAGGACATGCCGGTGCCATAGCTAGCAAATGTGATGGTCAGAAGACAACTTTCAGGAGTTGCTTGAGAACAGAACATAGATCATCTGGCCTGGAAGCATGTGCCCTTACCTGCTAAGTCATCTTACTGGCCCATTTCATATTCTGTATTGTAAAGACATTTGTGCACTGTACTCTGTTGTTAGGTTGTACTTATCCAGAAAACCAGTGATTTGAGAATATAGTGGGTTAATCTTTTAAAAAAACTTATTTAGGACTCACCCCCTGTTGTTTTTCCCTTGGTTAAGTGGCTACACCAGAATCTATGGATAGTTTAACTACCCTCTGTGGCCCCATAGACGGCAGTCAGCACCAGTTCTGCTGATGCCACCAAATGCAGGTTTTGTTTTTATTATTTTTATTTTTAAATTTAAATTTAAATTAGAAACAAAGTTGTTTCACATGTCAATTCCAGGTCCCTCTTCCTTTCTCTCCCCTCCTCCCACCAAATGTAGGTTTTAACTAAGTCTCTATTGCTTTATTTGCCAATAAAGACTCAGGAGTCAGATGTTGGGGTGAAAACCTGTTGGCTCTCAAAGGCCAAGAAACAACCACATGACCTTCCTTTCTGGCTGGAGACCCAGCAAGAGATCATCTCTCTCTCTTGCTGTCTCAAACAAAAAGAGACCATGAAGCTCCAAGTCCCTCCCTATTCCTTCCTGTGTGTCTATCCATTTTACTGGCTTCTCCATACTCTCTATGGCTAATTCCTGCCAACTAGTCGCTGACTCCACCCCCTGATCCAAAGCTGATTTTATTAACACAGTCTGAGGTTTCACAGTGTCATCAAACACCCCACATCTTTTCTTCTTTTTGTCTAAATAAAAAGGAAAGGTTTTAACTCTAACAGAGTATAACTATATACAATAAGAACAATTATCAAGTAAGAATTACATTCAAAATATCCAATCCATTTGTATTTAGCAACTTTGGAGAAAGTACTCCATTATCTGTCCTGTCTTGGTGAGTTCAAAGTTTTGTACATAAACCACTTTCTATCATAACTTGTATTAACAATATAAAATATCTTTTTAGACCTTAAAACATTTTCTTGATAAACAACTTAAACTTTTTTGTCTCTCAACATTTGTAAACTTTACATCTCTTTTGTGAGTGTCTTTTGGTAACTATCTAGTCTTCAACCCCATCAGAAACCTGAGAAGGATAAAACTATTACCTGAGTAAACAGGAAGTGTAATGCAAGCAACATCCAAAACAGAGACATTTGGCTACCTAGTTAGTCACCCAAGGTTCCCCTGCAACTTTGCAACATCCATTTTGGCCTACAGGCCTAGAATATCGGACAGATTTTTCTGTGAAGCAGGAATTTTGAGCCTACCCTGCCTAGACAAAGTTCAGCAGTTGACTTCCTTTATGTCCTGCTTGACCAATTTGGACAGCTTACTGTCAGCAGTTGCGGCAAGGGCAGTTTCTTGCTCAGTGGCTACCTTTATCACATTTGAAGCAACCTCCATATGGAGGTTCTTTGATGCCCATCATCTTCTCTGAAGTAGAGTGGTGCTGCCAGGAGCAGACCTGTGTCACTATCATGAAAAGTCTTATGTTATTAAAACATTTTACATGGCATATTCTGTACATTTCTGAAGTGTTTGAAGACCACCTATCTGTCTAAAATATATATTTTTACCTTGAAAACATACCTAACATGACTACAACTTTGATTGTTATAGATGACTAACTACTAACCCACATTTCTTAATTATCCTAAACAGTTTGTAATAATAGCTTTCAAGGACTAGAACTTAATACATTTTAAATGAACTGCAGAGACACAATACCCTAAACAAGAGTAGAAACACATATACAGTATGTTATAACAAAAATAACCTTAAATTTGTATCAACATACAACAATCTGTACCAATGTGAAATATTTGAGACTAGTAGCTGCTTTTTAGTTTAAAAGTAGATTCAATAATCTTTTCTTTTATCCTAGCATTATTATATCCCCCCATCTTTTTCACTAGATAGAGGAAAGAAAAAAAAGTTCCCTTAATCCAACCTCCTTTGTTTAGTTTTCTCCCTATGACCAACAACAACTTGAAATTAACACCCCCAAACAATGACAAATATCTATAACCCACCAAACAACCAAATACCACCCACGAACCCCTCAGGAATGTGGGCATCATACTCTTTTGTTTGTTTGTTTTTAGAGACAGGGTTTCTCTGTATTGTTTTGGAGGCTGTCCTGGAACTCACTCTGTAGACCAAGCTAGCCTCGAACTCAGAGATCCTCCTGCCTCTGCCTCCCGAGTGCTGGGATTAAAGGCGTGCGCCACCAACGCCCGGCTGGGCATCATACTTCTTGTCTGAGGGTGACAGCATCTTTAGGGGACCCTGAAAAACTGGGATAATGGTTAAGTCTTGGAAGAGCTAGCTATATCATTTGTTGTCCAGTCTCTGTGTGATGAGAAAGAGCAGGGCTTATCTGAAGTCCTGGCTAGAGTAGTCTAAGAGACTGGACCATCTTAGCTAACCACTTTGAAGTTGTCCTGAGCAGTTTGTAATCTGAAGCTGATCTTTGGGTGGTGTTCATCAGCAAAATTCTCTTTACTTGATCAAACATTTTTTCCTAAGGTATCTACATTGGAATCAGCCAGTAAGATATCACCCATATAATGACAAATTATAGACTGAGGAACTGTTTACCAATTATTTCTAATGTCTGTTGTACAAAATATTGGCACAAGATGGGGCTGTTTAACATTCCTTGTGGAAGAATTTTCCAATGGTACCTTTTACAGGATAGGAATTATTATAAGCAGGCACTGTGAAGGCATTTTTCTCTATTCTGTTCTTATAAGGGTACAGTAAAAAAGCAGTCTTTAAAATCAATCACTCTAAAATACCATCACTTAGGTAATAAATAAGGCAAGGGAATTCCAGGCTGTAAAGAGTCCATTAGCTGAATCACTTTATTTATGGATCTTAAATTTGTTACCATTCTCCGTTTTCCAGATTTCACCATGTTGGTGCAGTACCTGAGGAGACCTGAAGAAGGCATTGGATTCCCTTAGAGCTGAAGTTACAGATGATAGTGAGTGCTGCAAATCAACCCTAGATCCTCTGGGGGAGCAAGCTATGCTTCTAACCGTGGGTCCTTTTCCCTCTTTAAGGCTGGGTGAATCCCGCAGAACACACGGAGTGCCATGACACAGCAAAGCTGAGCATGCAGTGGGCAGGCTCCCGGGAACATGAGCAAGGAGGCTCTGCGACATGTGCCTAGTTTTCCCTCCCATGCTCATCAGTCAAATCAGCGAAGGCTTGGGAAGAGGCCAAAGTACTAGCCCGGGGCAGGCTCTGTCCTACAGAAGGGAACATCAGGAGTGGCAAGGTGCTTTCTCAACAAAGACTGTGGTCTGCGAGATGAGATTCAACTGCCACTAAAAGCAAATCTGAGAACCGATTTAAATTTGCGCGTTGACTCCTAACAGCATTTAGGCTGAATTGCCTGGAAGCAGTGGGGAGGGTGGCCATGGTCGAACAGAAAACTCATCTCTCTCAGGGGCTGGCTGAGAGACAAGCAGTTGGCCTCATATTTGGGGATTTTTGTGTCTGCAATTTAAACAAAATCAGATAAGGAATATTTGGGAAAAAAAATCCAGAAAGTGCTGGCAAGATGGCTTGGCGGGTGGAGGCACTGGCCGTGCCCACCTGATGACTTGAGGCTGAGCCTCAGAAGCCACAGGGAGGTGGAGGAGAGAAGTGACTCCACAGAGTGGTCCTGTGATACATGCTATGGCATGATGTTAGATGTATAATTCAGGAATAGGGTGCTTACCTGACATGTACAGGACCTAAGTTTGATCCCCAGTAAAATTACACACACACACACACACACACACACACACACACACTGCCATTTTATAGAAGGGATTTGGGCATTCACTTTTTTTTTAAACTAGGGTTGGTATCCTAGAGCCAATATCCTATCAATGCTGAGAGATGACTGTAATTTTTAAAAATCTCCTTAAGAACATTAACAGCTAGATGCCATGTGGTACCTTGGATTGGATCCCAGGGCACAGAAAAGTTATTAGTGAAGAAACCAGCAAAATAATATTATAAAATCTGGAGTCTAGTTAGCAATAATGCACCAAGGTTAATTTCTTGGCTCTGACAAATACATCCTGCTTATGTAAGACGCTGACAGTAGAAGAAACAGTGAAGGCTATTCAGGGACTATCGTTGAAACTTCTCTGTAAACCCAAATTATTCTAAAATAGAAGTTTGCTAAAACAAAGACCACAAAGGAAGAGACTGACAAACCGTTGTTCTTTAAAAGTTTTAAGCAATGAAGGATGAGGAAGAGTGTGAGGACTCCCCATGTGGCTGCGGCCTGCCAGGAGCATTCATTCCTGAGAATTCACTGATGCAGAAGACGCTGCTATGGTGGTAATGTGCTTGCCCAGCACATACGAGGCCTAGATTTGGCCTGCAGTGCTGAAGAAGAGACTTCAGAAGATGCAGTGAAGACCAAGAGAGTTAGGAATCTAAAGATCCCAAGGCAGGCACTTTGAAAGAATTACAAATATCCCAGGAGTACCATGGACTTCCATTCACCTCCCTGTCATGTAGGTTTGCTGGGACACTCAACGCTTTCTGATTTTACTTATTATCACTGTGTATGTGTTTGAGGTGTACATGCACTTTTGTGGGTGTGCGTATGCCACTGCATGCATCTCACGATCTGAAGACAGTATTCAGGGGTTGGTTCTCTCCTTTTATCATGAGTTCTGGGATCGGACTCAGGTAATCAGGTTTGTACAGCAAACATTTCTGAACTATCTCACAGGCCCTCAAACTTTAAACTAACCCTAACCCTAACCCGGAATTACAAGTGTTCTAAGCCTGGACCCTTCCCATTGAGCACTGCAAGACACCAGTGAAAAAAATCCTTCCTGGAGGAAATTGGCATTGATCTAAGCCTCAAGCTATGTTTTACAAAACGTTTTTTTCTAAATATGACCTAGTATATGATCTAAGATTACTGAATCCAGCGGACACCAGATGGTACCGCAACGCCACGTGGAGACAGTGGGCAACAGGGACAGACTTTTCCAGGAACACAGATACGGAAAACAGCAGGGAGAGCCTGAGCGCAGGACTCCTCACTGAGCATGCAAAGGCAGAACTCCAGCTTGAAAGTTTTGGCAGGGACCGGAAAGTAGAGAAGTGACAGCGTATCTGGAAAGCAAGAGAAGAGAATATCGACAGATTCAATGGATGGTTTTGGAACGGAGTAGGACAAGGGAGGAACTCCTAACTAATGGGAAGACCTTTCAGAAGAAAGGCATCTGTAAATAAAATGAAGTGCAGGGAAATTAAAGAGGGGCTATAAGAAGTGGGAGAAGGGAGGAGCGTGCCTCATGTGCTTGAGAAACCCAGAATGGCAGAAGAAAGATAAACCGAGACTCAGAGGTTCTGAATCTGAAGTAACATGGCATTCATTTGTTTTTAAAGATTTATTTATTTATTATGGATACAGTGTTCTGCCTGCATGTCAGAAGAGGACACCAGATCTCATTACAAATGGTTGTGAGCTGTCATGTGGTTGCTGGGAATTGAACTCAGGACCTTGGGAAAAGAAGTCAGTGCTCTTAACCTCTGAGCCAACCCTCCAGCCCGGCATTCATCCTTTATACGTTTGTGTGTGTTTATTTTCTAAAAACTTAGTTATTCACTTTTTAAAAATTATGTGTTCATGTGTGTGCCTGCATGCGAGCAGAGGATCTTGGGTTCCCTGGAGCTGGAATTAGAGGGAGCTTTGAGACACTTGATTTGGGTTCTGTGTACCAAACCCGGGTCCTCTGGAAGGGCAGTATCTTAGTTAGGGTTTCTGTTGTTAGGATAAAACACCATGGCCAAAAGCAACCTGGGGAAAGAGTTTATCTCAGGTTACCTGTTCATCATGAAGGGAAGTCAAGACAGGATCTAAGACAGGAGCCTGGAGGCAGGAACTAAGACAGAAGCCAGGCAGGAACTAGACAGAAGCCAGGCAGGGGCATTTCTTATTGGCTTGTTCTTCATGGCTTGCTCATCTTGTTTTCTGTTTTCTTTTATTTTTTTGTTTGTTTGTTTTGAAACAGGGTTTCTCTGTAGCTTTGGAGCCTGTTCTGGAACTAGCTCTTGTAGACCAGGCTGGTCTCGAACTCACAGAGATCCACCTGCTTCTGCCTCCCGAGTGCTGGGATTAAAGGTGTGTGCCATCAACACCTGGCCCACTTTTCTTTTTTTTTAATTTAAATTTTATTTTATTTTTTAGAGGCAGGGTTTCTCTACATAGTCCTGGCTGTCTTGGAACTTGATCTGTAGACCACACTGGCCTCGAACTTACAGAGATCTGCCTGCCTCTGCCTCCTGAGTGCTGGGATTAAAGGCGTGCGCCACCACTACAAACTCAGCCTGTTTTTTTTTTATAGCACCCAAAGCCACCTGCTCAGTGGTTGTACCACCCACAATGGGCTGGACTCTCTCATATCCATCGTCAATCAATGGTGAGTCCTGCAGGCTTCCACAGGTCAGTCTGGTGGGGCATTTTCCTTTTCTTTTCTCTTCCTTTATTTTTTTTCTCACGAGACAGGGTTTCTCTGTGTAGCTTTGGAGCCTGTCCTGGAACTCATTCTATAAACCAGGCTGGCATCAAATTCACAGAGATATCCTGAGTGCTGGGATCAAAGGTGTGCACCATCAATGGGGGGGGGGGGACACGGGACACGGGATTTTCCATAACCTAGGTTCCCTCTTCCCAAATGACTCTAGATTGTGTCAAGTTGACAAAAACAAAACAATTTAAACAACAACAAGCACACACATGCACACACCACTAGCTGGCACAAGTACTCTTAACCATTGAGTCGTCTCTTCAGCTCTGTGTGAGTGTTTATTGTATGGAAGATGCTACAGCCTGGACGATTTTTGTGTGGGCCTAAGGGAGGTACAGTGTAGACACTAATGGATGACAAGTAGTGAGGAGAGAGAGAGAGAGAGAGAGAGAGAGAGAGAGAGAGAGAGAGAGAGAGAGAGATTAGTTATAGATGGATTATGAGGTAAGATGCACAACTTTTAGAATATAACAGAGAGTAACTCCATGGTCTTTGGTTAGGGGAAGAGTTCTTTTCTTTGCCTTTTTAAACATGGCACATGTGTGGAGGTCAAAGGACAACCTCCAGTGTCAATCCTTGTCTTCCATTTTATTTGAATGTGATAGCTTTATTGTTCCCAACTGTATATGCAAGGCGAGCTCAAGTTTTCAGGGAGTCTCCTGTCTCAGTACGTGCGCCCCCCCCCTTTATCCACAGGCTCCTCTCCCCAGCCCCTGTTTCATTTTGGTTTTGAGGGTCTCATGTAGTCCGGGCTGGCCTTGAACTCAGTATGTAGCTGAGTTATTGATATTGACATTATGATGTTAAGTTATGATATTGAACTTATCCATCTGCCTTTACCTCTTAGGTGCTGGGACTACAGGTGTGTGCCTCAATGCTTGGTTTATGTGGTGCTGTGAACAGAACCCAGGGTTTCGTGTGTGCTAGGCAAGCCCTCTACCAACTCCCAACCCTGGGAAAGAAGATTTAAGACTCAAAAATCGAAGAGCATGAAGAAAAATACTGGTGGGGTTGATGATACTAAAATTAAAAACTGTCCATCAAAAGATGACACAAAAGAAACCACAGAGATTTTGCCACTGCCGAGCGTGGGCGCAGGCGGCTCTCGGAAGCGCCGGTGACCAGCCTCTTCCGAGCACGCTTCTCGGCTCCTGCACAGCCTTCATCCTGCGCGTTTCTCAGCGTCGCCGGTGGGAGTCACCGCCTTTCCTGCTGCCATCCGGAGCACGGTCGCACACCCCGCCAGCTTGCCGCCATGCCCAAGAATAAAGGAAAAGGAGGTAAAAACAGACGTAGAGGAAAGAATGAGAATGAATCTGAAAAGCGAGAGCTGGTGTTCAAAGAGGACGGGCAAGAACATGCTCAGGTAATTAAAATGTTGGGAAATGGACGATTAGAAGCAATGTGTTTCGATGGTGTAAAGAGACTGTGCCATATTAGAGGGAAATTGAGGAAAAAGGTTTGGATAAATACCTCAGACATCATATTGGTGGGGCTCCGAGATTACCAGGATAACAAAGCCGATGTCATTTTAAAGTACAACAGCAGATGAAGCCAGAAGTCTCAAGGCATATGGCGAGCTTCCAGAGCATGCTAAAATCAATGAAACTGATACATTTGGTCCTGGAGATGATGACGAAATTCAGTTTGATGACATTGGAGATGATGATGAAGACATTGATGATATCTAAAATGAGATCAACAGTTTACATTCTGGTCTTTCTGAAGATTGCCCTGCAAGTTTGAAATCTGGCCAGCCATAGACCTCAAGGAAAAGTTTTCACTGTCTTGATTGTAATGTGTTGAAGCAGACTTGATTCGATACTAAGATCGCTTCTTTCAAAACTGATATCTTAAGTGATATGTTAAGCCCACTTTGTTCATTTGATGTAATAGAACTCAAGTTCATGTAAGAAAAAAAAACTGCCTTTCCTACTTTGACCACTTCCAATAAGTAAATGGATGTTTTGAATAAAAAAAAAAAGAAACCACAGAGTGGGAGAAAATGTCAAAAGCATACATACCAGCAGGACAGCACTTTTTTGGATACATTGTAAACAAAATACTGAAGCTACTCTGAGTTCATTTATGTGAGGTCTAAAACTGACCAAGCTGACCAGCAATGTATGGCAATGTATGCTAACTAGCAATGTATGGCAATGTATGCTAACTAGCAATGTATGGCAATGTATGCTAACTAGCAATGTATGGCAATGTATGCTAACTAGCAATGTATGGCAATGTATGCTAACTAGCAATGTATGGCAATGTATGCTAACTAGCAATGTATGGTAACCTGCATATGTTATGATTAAGCCATAAAGCAGAACATGGAAGCTGTGAGCCAGAGGTCTGCAGGGGATTCTGGGAGCTGCCAATGTTTACTTCTCCATCAGGTGGTGGGTTGTCCAGGTGTTCTGGTTTTATTGCTCTGGGAGTTTGACTTATGCACTTTCCTGTATGTATATCTGAGATCTTCATACTAAACTTTTTTTTTAAAGTGTAGTGCAGGGGGCTGGCATAGACTAGCCAGGTGCAGGACCATTGAGCTACATACCCACCTGCTTCTCGCTGAGATGTAAATGAGACTGAGAATCTATCCTCTGACTCAACTCATCTGGAGATGCCCGTCTGGGCTCGAGCCCATTTTCTCTCTTGGATTTGTTCCCTGTTCCCTTTGGAGCCTGGGCTGAACGCCATGCCAAACCAGGAGCACCTGTAGCCGGAGGCAGAGTCTCTGCCACCTCTTCCGGAATTGCTGGCATCCACCTTTTCTGGATCACGCTTCCTATACTCTCTTCGTGCACAAACAGATCTCTTACTCCCTTATTGCTGTGGGGTCGGAGCTCCTCCTGCTGTGGCCTCTGCATTGAGCACCTCAGCTCTGGCTGGTTGACTCATGCTTTGGCCTCGCAGTGCTTTCACTTTGAGCTCACCCACGCAAATCTCTTTCTCGGGTTGCTTTCTCCTCTATCCTGCACGCTCAAATAACCCCTGCACTAGAGAACGTTTGCATCTATATAAAACCCTATTTTTATCTCCTTTTACAAGATTTTGTTTTATTTTTATTTGTGTGTGTGTGTGTGTGTGTGTGTGTGTGTGTGTGTGTGTCTACCCCTGGAGGCCAGAAGAGGGTATCACATGAATTTTTAACCACTCAGTGTGGATTCTGGAATCTGAACTCTGGTCATCATGATAAAACAGAAGCACTCTGCACTGCTGAACCATCTCTCCATCCACCACCAACCTAGAGAGAGGGTTTCATGTAGCCTACGCTTCTTGAATTCCTGATCTTGACTCAGTCTCCCAAGTGCTGGAATTAGAGGCATATGCCACCAGCTTGTTCTGGGGAAAGTCTTGGGGGCTAGGTTGTGGGGCATTATCTCTATTGAGCTAATTGTTGAAGCTATGTCCACTGTGGATCACTGCCTGGAATCTTAGACTGTATAAACCAAGAAAAAGAGTGGTGGTGCACACCTTTAATTCCAGCACTTGGGAGCCAGAGGCAGGCAGATCTCTGAGTTAGAGGCCAGCATGGTCTACAGAGCGAGTTTCAGGACATTCAGGGCTACACAGAGAAACCCTGTCTCAAAAAAAAAACCTTTAAGAAAGAAAAGAAAAAGGAATGCAATGGCAGCGTGACCTTATCATCATTTACTTCATAACTTCAGATACTATGTGACCAGCTGCTTCAAGCCCCTGTTGCCTTGAATTCCCCACTACAATGTCCTGTACCCTTGAATGTGAGCTGGAAAAAACACATACGTTGCTTTTGTCAGAGTATTTGATCATAGCAGCAGCAGAATAAACTGGGACACCATTATACATATATATATATATATATATGATCACAATTTATCCACTGACAGGCATAAGTACAATTAGTGCCCTTAAGATGATACTTGGAGAGTAGCACCCTAGTCCCCCTGGCTCCTTCCATGTGAGAACACAGTGTCCATTCCTGTCTGTCCTTGCTTTTTTGATGTGTATGGAACACATGGTGCCTTAGTCATGATCCTACTTGTGTTCATCCTGGACTTTCCAGCTCCTAAGCAATCAATTTCTATTATTTATTATACCCAGCCTGCGGCATTTTGTTATGGCAGCAGGAACTGACAGGTTTGAATTTGCATTTCCATGTTTAGTGCTGACAGATGATGTTTAGTGAGCATTTTCTCATGTGGCAATATGTGATTTGTGTATCCTCTTTAGTGAAATGCATACTTGTGTCTTTTGTCCAATTTTTTTTTTGGTTTCTTGTCTTTTTATTATTGAATGGCAAGAGTTCTTTAATTTGGGTACAAAATAAATTCATCAGATAATATTTCTTTCCAGCTTGTGGCTTTCCTGTTGCATGTGTGAGTGTTCTCTTGTGTGCATGTGTGCATGCCTGTGAGTGTGCAATTGTGTATAAGTGTGGGTGGCAGAAGTTAACCTCAGTGTTGTTCTTCAGGAGCTGTCCACCTTTGCTGGGACCTGGGGCTCACCAATTAGCACAGGCTGTCTGGCTAGTGAGATCAGGGACCAGTGCACATCTGCTTCCCTAACTTTGGAGCTACAAGCACAGGCCACCATGCCTCGCTCTTACATATGGCTGCTGGGGCTCAGACACAGTCCCTATGCTTTCACAACATGCACTTTACTGACTGGGCCATCTCCCCAGCATCACAACCCCCCATCCATGCTGCTTTTTTTGAGACAGGATCATATTTGTGTAGCTCAGGCTGGGCTTGCCAGGCTGGTCTTAAACCGAGAGATCTCCCTGCCTCTGCCTCCCGAGTGCTGGGATTAAAGTTGTGCGCTTGGGTTTGCAGTCTTAAGCCTCCTGTTTTAGCCTCCTGAGTGCTGGATTATAAGCCTGTACCACATTGTCTGACCACAAATAGTGAAAAAGACCTGAGATAACTATGTCTGCACATTCTCACTCTCTGTCTCTGTCTCTGTCTCTCTCCCCTTCCTTCTGGTGGCGCTGAGACAAATGTGGGCTTGCTCATACTGGGCAAATGCTTTTACACTGAG